AACAAGCTATATGGCTTCAAGAACTTCTTAGTGAGATTACTGAAGCAAGCAGTGAGAAGGTGGTCATCCGAATAGACAACAAGTCGGCAATAGAATTAACCAAAAATCCGGTTTTTCATGGCCTCATCAAACACATTCACAGGAGATACCACTTTATACGAGAGTGCATAGGAAATGAACAAGTAATAGTCTGTTAGAATGTGTTCCACATCGATAAAATAGAAGATTGTGGACAATATATAAGTGTGTGGCAATCCTCCACTCATGAGCTAGCTTTTGGGTGTGAGTTAGGCCCATTACTAATAGAGTCGAACATGTTCCTGGAGTTGAGCAAAAGGCAGATATCTTAACAAAGGCACTTGGGAGAATCAAGTTTAAAGAGATGGGGGAACTTATTGGTGTCAATGATGTATCAAAAGAAGACTTCAAACTTAAAGGGGAGAATGTTGGAGTAAGCTTGAAGAAAGCTTAAGAAACAAGTTTCCTAAATAGATTAGGAATAATTATATTTAGGAGTTATCTAATATACTTAGGAGTTATCTAAGAAAAAGGAAAAGTGTGTTTTCAATGGAATTAGGATTTAGGAAATATTTCTCGATATATGAAGTTGTAGCATTCTCATGAGATTATAGAGATTGAGAAAGCTTTAGTTTTGAGTGATTTTTCTAAAGCAATAAAGTGAGTTTGTGTTCTTAATCTTGAGTCTCTAATTCTATATAAAGATGCACTTAGCCTAAAGGGTTCCCATTCTAATTCAAAACAAGTGGATATAGCTAAAATTTTTCACTGCAATGGTTTGTTGTTATGCATCACCGATGATAATAGACTTGTGGTTTGGAATCCATGTTTAGGGGAAATCAGGTGCATCCAACACAAAAACAGTTACGATAGAGACTGTAGCTTTGCTCTAGGGTACGAAAATAACCAATATTGCCGCAGCTACAAAACCTTGATGTTTTGGAGAGCTTACCAAAATACAAACAAACCAGTTCGTGGGTTTAAAATCTATGAGTTTAGCTCTGATTCATGGAGAGTTGTTAATGTTCCCAGATGCATCGGATTCAGATATAGCAATGTGACTTTGAAGGGAAATACTTATTGGATTTCTTATGATGAAATAGACAAAGACGACGAATACTTACTCAGCTTTGATTTTACACAAGAGAGAGATTTAGACATTTTTGTCTTCCCCCATCTCCGAATCGTGTAAATTATATGGCTCTATCAGTTTTTAGAGAAGAACAACTCTCAGTGTTAATTCAGAAGTTTGATACATCTGTGGTGGAGATGTGGGTGACCAAGAAATTGGATAGCGAAGCAGAGTTGCCATGGAGCAAATCCTTCACAGTGGACTTAGGCAGTACTCACAGTGATCGTGTTCATCCTTTCACGAGTCTTTTAATCGAGGGGGAGAAGAAAGTGGCCTTGTGTTGTGATTCAATATTATATAGGAACTACGGGGACGTGGTATACACTATTGGAGAGGACGATGACTATTACACAGAAACCCCTTATATAAAAGAACCATGGTTTTGTTCAAGATCGTGGTGGCCATTTATTTTCAGTTATGTTCCAAGTTTGGTTCAAATCCAACCAAGAGTAGTTGTACCCTCATCACAGGCTGTTCCAATAGTTTCAAAAACTGCCACACAAAATAAGAAAGATACTATATATGTATGAGTGAGGAAAATGATAAAGATTGTGTGGGAGCAAAGGGAAACCAATTTGCTCTTTCGGATCAAAGTGAGTTGTTTGAAGATTCATTTAGAATACAGCTGGAGGACGAGGGAATCGTGGTCGACAAGGCCAAGGTGGTCGTGGCCAAATCAATTTGTAAGTTTTAATTAGTTAGTTCTTACCTCACTCTTCCCTCACTCTTATAAATTGTTTCTTAAAGTTAGCTAAAGCCCTCTATCTCTCATACTCTACCAAATGGGATGACTTGGAAAATTTATATTGTTTCTTAATTTTACTCTTTTGCATTAATATAAATACTTGCAATGCTTTTTCTAGTTTCCCATTGTTACACAATCCATCCAACAATATAAATTAGGTCATGATAATGTGGAGAGAGTTATGAGATTCGGACTATGCTTCATTTCTACCATTCGATCAACTAGCGCCACAGCTTCGGAAACTCTACCTTCGAGGCAGAACCCAAAAGATATGATTTTCTTAGTCAATCAAACTGCCCTAGAAAACTTCACTGTCAAGTGACATTTGTCTAGTCAGATATTATGTAAATGCACAATCTAGTGACGACTCTGAATGCCCCCATGTGAACAAAGATAAGATAATCCATAGAGGATTACCAGTTGATTTCTGTATCCATTCATTGCCATCATTATCGTATCATAATCCAGAAAAAATACATATAAGAATATATACAACCTGTGGAGTTATGGCCGTGATGAACAAGTCACTTATTGGTTTGGTAAAACTCAAGTCGTGAAAATTTTAAAACTGAAGTTACCATAAGGTGAAACTGAGGTTTGGTAAACTTTTGGGGACCACTTGTGTTGGGAAGAGACGATGGCCTAAAATGTCAAAGCATCGTTATCTTTCGGCTATCAAAGACGCATAAGTGTTTGTTCATGAAAGAGGAAACTCATGTTTTGTCTGCAACAAAGAAAAATCAAGAAGATATCTTGGCGTTTGGTTTTGATCATTTGATTCTTGCGGTTGTGTTACATTGGAAGCCCTAGTGTGTGATCACTATAAAAGGAGCTTCCAGAAGAGAGAAAGAGAAGTGTGTGAATAACTTGGGCAAGGTTAGAGAGACAAAACAGCTAAAGAAAACTTGTATAAGCATAAGCTTTGTGTTCAGTTTTCTCATTACAAGATAGATAGGGAGAGTGTCTAAGTGCGAGTTCAAAGAGCATTAGGCGAATCTCTTGTATCTACTTGTTGTAAAGCTACTCTCTATCTAGTGGATTCCGAGGTGAGTCTCAGCGAGATGTAGCGAATAGCGACCTTTAATGGTGTGAACTCGTTAAACTTTCATGTGTCTTGTTCTTTACTTTCTTCTTCATATCATTTTCTTCTTCGAAAAGTCCTCTGTTTTCAAACTCTGTTTTGAGCTCCTCTGTTATGTCTCTTCAAATACATCTCAGGTCTTGGTATGTGAGGACATAAACCGGAGAAAGTCGATGTATTTCGGTATTTCGGTTGCTGAGACTTAACAGAGTGGTATCAAAGCCAAGTTTCGGTACTTGTGGTTCTAGAGATTGAATCTCAAGCCGGGAACCATGTCATCGACAAGAGTAGAGGTGGAAAAGTTTGATGGACGAAGAGACTACATATGTGGAAAGAGAAGCTCGAAGCTCTTCTAGATATTCTGAGAGAGAGAGAGAGAATGAAGATGTCGGATCTGCCGTCGGATTTGGCTCTAGGGTTCCGGCGGCCACATCTCTGAAACTACTACGATCTGTTTGCAAACGATAGAACGCTTTATTCAAAGACCCAAAGTAGTCTCATGTTCTCATGTTGAAGTATTATAGGATTCTCTCAGAAGCACTTTTCTAAAGCTCCAAAGCAGTCTCATGTTCTCATGTGACGTATTATAAGATTTTCCCAATGAGGTCGATCTCAACGTTGTTCCTCGCTTTATAGAGTTTAAACATAAACTTAGCCTAATGTATTGTTCCCATTGTTGTTCACAAGTAAATATAGCTGAAGTATTTCACTACGACGGTTTGTTGTTATGCATCACCAAGGATAATAGACCCCTTGTTTGGAATCCATATTTAGGGGAAGCCAGGTGGATCCAACACGAAAAATGGTTACAATAGAGAGTGTAGTTTTGCTCTAGGATACGAAAACAACCAGTCTTGCCGCAGCTACAACATCTTGATGTTTTGGAAAAGTTACAACAAAGAAAATAAGCCAGTTGGTGGATTTGAAATCTATGAGTTAGCTCTGATTCATGGAGATTTGTAAATGTTCCCACATGCGTCAGTTTCAGATTTCGTGGCTTCACTTTGAAGGGAAATACTTACTGGACTTCGTACTATAGTTTACTCAGTTTTCATTTTGCAAGAGAGAGATTTGAACGTTTTTGCCTTCCCCAATCTCCTAATAGTGGTCACTCGATGGCTCTATCAGTTGTTAGAGAAGAAGAACTCTCAGTCTTGATTTATAATATGGTACATCAGAGATATAGATGTGGGTGGCCAATTAAATTGATATTAAAGCAGAGTTATCATGGAGCAAATTCTTTGCATACTCACGCAGTAGTCGCCGTAATGGTGTTCCTGTTTTCACAAGTCTTTTAATCGATGAGGAGAAGAAAGTGGCTTTGTGGTGTAATACAACTGATGAGAACAGTAGCACCGTGGTATACACTAATGGAGAGGACGCTGAATATTTCACGGAAACCCTTTTAGGAAAGGACCACGGTTGTGTTCAAGATCGTGGTGGCCATTTATTATCAGTTATGTTACAAGTTTAATTTGGCCAAATCCAATCAAAATGAGTAAGTGGTTTGTTGCAGCTATTCTTGATTTTGTTTTCTTGTTTTTGAATAATTTAATGAATATTTGTTTTAGTACATCAGTTACCTCTTACTTTATGAATTCTTTCTTATTTATGTTGTTTAGTTTTGGTTTTAGCTCATTTATTTATAAAAGTGCCAAACTTTTTATTTGACGCTACAAGTCAGTAAGCAGCGAAGTTGTATCCCAACAATGGCGATGTTTCTTGTGTTTCTTCACATTCATATCAAGATTTGTTATCATCTTATTAGCGCAACAGGTTAACTGGACTATATGTTTCTAAATAGTCAAATTCTTGGTCTATGATGGATGAAAGCTTTTTGCCATCAATATGTTTGGTTTTGAGTTAGATACGTATCAATCAAAAGTTCATAGCCCCGTGATAATAGAAAAAAAAAAGACGAAGAAACAAAAAGAAAAAGCTGTTTGGTAGAATAGATTTGTCATAAGGGTACAATTGAAGTATACAAGTATTTCTACGGCATAACATTTTTGTTTGAAGTCATGACGGTGATGTTGTCTTTGTCAATAAATGATGAAGAGGAAGAATGATTTACAGCCACAAGAAACAACAATAAGAGAATAGACAAAAGCACCACGATAATGTTATCGTTATGTCATGTTGCATGTTGCTGACAAAAAAATATAACAGACAAAAGCTTCTCTTTTTTGAAAAACTACTATTCAAGTTTCCAAGCATAAAGAAAGAGGCAAAACTCGGGCGGCCAAGAGCTACTCTTGGTCGAATAATACCTGCTCCCTATGCTTGTATCGCTCTCTCCACCACCGTGACCACTTCCTTCCATGTCGCTGTCTTCGTTGGTCCCTGGTTTGAATATGAACAAACCATGACCTGTCCCTGGCGAGCTGAATAACCAATCATACACATCCCAAAACACTTGAACCGGTTGTTTATCTACCAGCACGGTCTGATTCCCTCTGAATTTCCATTGCAGATTCTTGACCTGTACCAACACAATCCCATCTATACTTATCCACATCTCTGGCTCTTTAGGCCCCGAGATCGAGCTCTCCACGATGATCTCGTGCTCTTTTTTCCTGTCGTAAAATCTAGCCCTCGTCGAAAAACACTTCTTACCAAACACATTCTCTTTCTTGTAAAACAAGGCAGCCTCGACCAAAGCGGGCCTCGACTTTGTTCTCTTGAAAGCTTTCTTCTTGTAATCACCCACCAACAAAACCACCTCTTCCTCGGAGACTAGAGCCACGTAGAAGTCCGAGCTTGGCTCGGGGCTACTCGTGAATTTCGCTGACCTGAAATCCCAATACACCTCCACAGGGTTACCTTCCACCTCGAACGACTTGTAGCCTTTCTTGTTCCAGAAATGCCATGGCTTTAGATCAACCTTGCAGCAATAATTCATATCGCCTTCCACGCTTGTAACCATGACCGTAAGCGAATGGTTCATGAGATTCTTGGACCATAGAACCGTAACATTCCTCCAGAATCCGGATATATGCGTTTGGTACATGCATGTCACGGTGCTTTGTGCCGTCTTATACGTTACAGGATCCTCTGTTATCTTCTCCGCGAATTGACTGCTTCCTGTCGATTGTGATCTAAAGGACATGATCGCTTCTTATCTTCCCCTAATTCAACTTTTACACACACAAACAAATAACAAATTCTATGATATAAAGGTTTCACATATCAGCCAGATGGTATTGGAGATCTCTCAGAGGCTCGTGAATGAAGCCCCTTGTGGCTTTTGGATCCAAGAATGGTGGAAAGGAAACGAATGAACAATAGATATCAAATTGAAAAGATAGGTTTTGGGAGATTTGGATAGAGATGATAGAGAGGAAAAAAAAAAGATTAAGGAATAATGATTGGGAGAAGAAGAGAAACCTCCATGTAAGGATGATGATGACGCGTAAGGAGGTTGAAGGTTGCCTCATCTTATTAAACAGAATTTGTATTTGTTTTGTCATATCCAGTTGTTATTGTTTTGTTTTCTTTATCTTTTTTTGGGAAGAACACTTATAATAACAAATTAAATTGTGTTTTTTTTTAATGCCAGTTGTTTTACTTTTTATTTACTGCTTAAAATACAACTCAATATTTGACTCTCTCTCTCTCTGTCTCTCTCTCTCTCTTTTTGTTTTGTTTTTTGGGTGATGGTTTGTTAGTGAATTAGTTGGTTGATATTCTAAAGAACTTATAAGAGTTATTAATTATTTAATACAAGAGCTTCTTTATAATACTAGATTTTGCGTCCACGCGTGGGTATTTTATTAGTAAAAATTATATGCAATTAATTATATTTATTAAAATATCAATTGTATATATTAATGTTTTAATCATATATTAAAATATTATAGTGTTGATTTAATAATTTTTATGTAAATTATGATGTTTTAACGGTTTTGTTTTGGTCAAACACTTATAAATTAATATATCAAAACCAACTAAATTTTTTACAAATTAATCAAATGTTACTTTTTACACATAGTATTAACATGATAATAAAATATTATACATTCACTTCTTTAAATCAAGAAGATTTTTTTTTTCTATCATTTTCACTTTTATTTTAATTATATATATGTTCTTTAAAAATAAATTTAAAATTTAATCTTTTTTCTTCTCTTGTTTAACAAATAATTTTTTTTTTATTTTGATATATTAACTTAAAAAATAAACTAATAAATAAAATATTTGCTTTGAGATTAATAACAACTTTAAATTTGATACCAAAACAATAGTTGAATATGAAATGAATAAAATCACACAAAATTTATGAATAAATATATTTTTGTCAATTGGTAGTGTAAACTTTTAAATAAATTTTCAATGATTATATGTCGTCTCTTCTAATAAGAATGAAATTGTTTTTCATCTTCTTCATTTTTATTTTTGTTATATCTGTTTTTTCAATGAATCTATCATATTTATTTATTTTAATAATTTTTGTATGATTATATTTACATTCATCATATTCATTCTCACTTCTAATTGTAATTAAGTAGACAAAACCAGTACAATTTATTACATACGAATTTATAAAAATAAAACAAATCAAACAACTCAAAACTAAGAACTCATACATTAATATATTGAATTCCAAATTGAATATATAAAATGTAAATTTTTTATCATTTTTGCATAATATATTACATGAGAAAAAAAATATTACATATTTTCGCATAATATATTACATATTTCGATAATATGTTTTGCATATGTGAAAAAATTAGATGAATATAAATCATAAATTTTAGTTATTTAAAATTCTACATGAAAAACTTTAAAATCAAATGACTTAAACTTGTATAAGTAGCATATCTTTTTTTATAGATAATAAATTAAATTTGTGATTTAAACAATGGTAATGGAGATTTTAATATCATGTTGGTTTTTTTTTGTTAATAGAGATTTCTTTATTTTTCATATATTTTTTAATCATAATAATAGAATTATAAACTTTTTTAATTTATTATTTTAATATATACGAATAAAAATGATTTTTTAAATGCTGATGTGGATGGTTTGAAAATATTATAGCTTTAGCTATCATTAATAATAGAATAATTTTAATTAACAATATTTCCTATATTATTTTGTAATAATAATGTAATTTTGTAATTTAAAAAAAAAATTAATTTTAATTATTGATGTGGAACAATAAATTTGACTTTTTAAATCTTATGTGGATGTCTTTAGAAGTATATAGCTTCAACTTTTATTTTTTTTTAAATATATTTGTTTGTTAACAGTATAATTTAAATTTTTTTAAAATTTTAAATATTGATGTGGACCAATAGAATTAAACTTTTAAATCATATATGGACATTCTTAGAGACATATAGTTTTAACTTTTATTAGTAATATATTTAGAAATCAAAACTGGAAAATCTCACATGAGGCCCGTTACGGCAAGTGATTTTAGCCTCTCCTCTTTGTTTTGAGGCTTACCGAATGTATTGGGATGCTGCTTGGTCAGCTAATTGTTACTTTTGTGGTTCATGTTGGGTTGTTAAAACCCATTCAGATGTTATGTTATTTCAAAAAATTTCCTCAGATACCTCAGTCTCCTCCGCTATGTTCTTTTTTCTATTTTCAGTGCTTGGTTTTTCAAAAGTGTCGAATATCAATCACTTGACATGTTTCTTGAATTGCTTGAAATTTATTATTCTTCTCAAATTTGGTGGCCAAGCTTTGGAGATTTTACGATATCTTTTTCAATATTAAAGCGGCTTGTAGTGCCTTTGTTTATATCTCATTTCATATTTTTTATAATTTAGCTAATAATTAAACATATAGTTATTCAATTTTGTTCTTGTAGTGGCTTTATTTATATCGTTTTTCATTATATTCTTTGTAATTTAGCTAATAGTTAAACATATAGTTTAGTCAAGTTAATTCTTTTACGTTGTATTGACTTATTTTTTTAGTGAAACCTTACTCTATCTTTTGTTTTTGTTTATTTTACATAGTTGCACACATAGGAAAAAAAACTTAAAAATTATTATAATTATGTGACAAAAAAATTGGATGCTAATGTAAGAGTCTCTAAATATGTGTGTAGATATCTAATTTAAATTAAAAATTTCCTATTTTAATATTATTTATTTTAGTTTTTTATTATTAAGAAGAGCCTTTTTCCCCAATTAAATCTTTTTGGTTTCTGTAATTAATAACTTGAGGAATTTCATCACGTTAGTTTTCGTATTTGATTTCATATAAACCTAAGTTTGGATATCAATTATGTTTACTTTTTTTGGGTCAAATTAATTTTTCAATTTTTCAATTTTCAATGTTGAGGTGGACCAATAAAAAAAAATTATTGGACCAATAAACTTTCTTAATTTCTTTTTTTCAGCAATAATATTATAATTTGTAAATTTTCCTTAATTTTGAATGTTGATGTGGACCAATAAAATTGATTTTTCAAATCTTATGTGGACACTTTCTTAATTTTCTTTTTTCAGTAATAATATTATAATATGTAAATGTTCCTTATTTTTGAATGTTGATGTGGTCATGTGTTGAGGATGTCAAGTTTTACCCTAAATGAAATCAGTAGCCGCAAGTGCACATCTGATCGATTGTAGTACTTAGGGATCAAATCCACAGGGAAGGAGGATCTTTCCTGCAAAAGCCTTCGAAAAAAATATGAAGTAATGAAGTTTAGAACCAGGCGAGTTTTGTGAGGGTTTTGGTGGTGTGTTTAAAACGTAAAAACAAATTTTAAAGAGAAACTACGGGAATTAAAATGACCTAATAACTAAACTTAACGAAAACGGGTGAAAATGGGAAAAACGGCTAACCTAATTGCTTGAATGAAAATCGATTGAAAGAGTAAATAAACTAGACTAAAGCTTGAATGAAAATCGGTGTAAATCTATAAGAAAAGAGGCGTTGGGGTTCAGGGAAGTTTTCTCAGGGGTATGAACGATTCAAAACATTGCTAGAGAGTAAATTTGATAAGATCTTAGCTTAAACTTTTCAAACTGGAGTCACGGACGTATGAATACGCCACTGTCGTGATCATAGACAACTTTCTCTCTCAATCCTGACCAGTAGGTTTCCACTCTGGCCCTGGAAAAGAAGAGATGTATTATGTTTAAGACTCGTCAGCATTCACAAATCGCCCATAGGTAGGTTTCCACTCCTATGTTTGTTTTGCTCTCCCAAAATAGATCTGAAACTGGATGAACACTTTCATGTCACCAAGCATCTGGATCAGATTGTAGTTCATGACGCTACTCTCATGCAGTAAAAACGAATTCAGAAGAAAAAGTTATAAGATTCGGCTCAAAAGCTCATGGAATCCTCACCAAACATATAAATCCCCATCGAAAATCCCTTAGACCCAACAATAAAACTACTCAGACATAATAAACGAAATAAAAAACATAGTATTAAAAAGTAGAATAGAAACCGAAATTGAAAAAGAAATAACAGGGTTCAAGAGACAGATCTCTCTCTCCCTAAAACCTAAAAACAAAGCTTAAAGTAAAATTTCTGTAAAGTATTTCGTCTCTCCTCTTCTCTCTTAAAAAACGACCTAAATGACATGTATTTATAGTCTCCAATACTCTCTGGTGTCTAGGATTCCGGAATTGAGGCTGGGAAAATGATACGGGTTTCAGAAATGGGCCTTCAAAGTCAGAGTTAGCTGGCCGCGGTCGGGATGTGCGTGACCGCGGGGAATGGGTGGCTGGCCGCGGTCGCGGTGGTTGTGACCGCGGGGAATGGTCTGTTGGCCGCGGGTGGAAACGCTTGCCGGCTGGTTTACGGGACATCTTGCTCTTCGCGCATCTTTTGATTGAACCGTTGGATTGCCAAGCTGTAAAGTGTGCTGGAAAGCTGATACTTCCATCTTTAAGATCTCCAAATTTGAGCTAGATCAGACGGTGAGAAGGCCTTCAATCGGGGGTTAACTTCTGACGGTTTGACTCTGAGCTGAAATCTGGTTTTCTATCCATTTTGTTAAGTTTTTCCCTAAGTTACCTGAAAAGAGTCTTGGAACTACAAATACTAGAAAAACGTAATAAAAATACTTAAAAGCAAATAAAAACATAAAAAAAGTATTTCAAAACGATCCATAAAAGTGGTCAAAATACGGTGTTATCAATCAATTAAATTGATTTCTTAAATCCTATGTGGAGACCCTTAGAAGTTTATAGCTTCAATTTTTATTAGTATAAGATTTTTTTGACGTATATATGATACACTTTTGTTATTTTACCATTTTCTGTTAAATAATAATATATATTCTTGAGAAACTCTTTTGAGGTTCTCAAAGGATCTTAGCCCAAAAAACTATACTACAATATAGTTTCGACTAAACTATAAGCCGAATAAAGATATCGGATGACTCCTTTTGGCAACAATCGTTCGTGCATCGTCCTAGCTTAATTTAGTAGATCCCAGAGTCCACTCAACACACAAATTAGGATGGTACTTTACTCACTAATTAGCATATGAATACATTGCCGTAAAAAAAAAAAAAAGTATATGAATACATTGAGTAGTGCATGTAGATCAAATGCATAACGTGGTTTAGGTGAATTAGAGACATACATGATTCATGAAGCATCTTTAAGAGTGAAGAAGGTACACACAGTATATTGAATCAGGAGGCATGCCTCTTTAAGCAAATTCATACAAATTTTTTTTGATATAAAGCAAATCCACTCGTGAATAGCTACTTACAAGTTGTATGATCTGTTTCGTGTTTTTCGTACATGTCTCTAATCTTGATTAAGTAACAGAACCGCTTGTGTAGGCTACGTCCTAACTCTACGTAAGAGTCCTTAATCAATTTGTATATCTAATATTGGTTTTGTGTACTTTAGTTAGGCTTGATAATATTATTGTATTTATGTGGCACGACTACTCTCCTCAAACATTTTATTTTGTATTGCAATGTACTTACTTGTATTTCCATGTAAAAACTCAAGAACAAGGAATGTTAGTTTGGATTAGCTTTCAGCTATATATGTTTTCCTTGCTTCTCTCTCTTCTCTGGTAAAAAGAATGAATGTTATACGTCTAATTAGTGAAAACCTGTAATTTCATTTGAATTTAAACAATTATGGTTGTTTTTAAGTGACAAAAATCTGATTCCTAATCTCGATTAGTAAATGAAACTTTCCATAATCCCAATAAGAAACCGTACAAATTCCTCATGCGCATATATATATGCCATGTAAAGGGTGTTTGCAATTATTCATTCACACAATAATAAAAGAAATCCTAAAAGTGAGTATAATTTGCCTCAATACTTTTTATCTTTGAAGTTTATGGTTTTTAGTTGGATTTGACATAATTCTCAACAAATATATTGCTTCAATGCTTCTAACTTGAAGTGTAAATGCCAGTCAAAGTAAATCTCTATAGTCTATACACCCACAACGTGTAGGTAAGGTTGTGAGGATTTCGAGTCGATTTGGCCTAACGATCAATCCAGTGTTGCTTGATCTAATCCGTATTTCTCGACTATATTTGTATGATGGATATGTATGGTATCTCCGTACTCCAAAATAGTTATTCTATATTAATGAATATATATCTGTATGATAAATTTGAGCATCATATGGAAAAAGATGTGGTGCCACGTTAAAACGTTCATTTTAAAGGTAATTAACTTTACTAGTTAGCATCCAAAACAAGTAAAGTAGTTCCACGCACGCACGCGTATGTAAATATATGGTAGCAGTCACTAGCAAAGATGCATTCTCAAACATGGAGAAAAGTAGGGAATGGGTCCATTTGGGAATCATATAAAATCAAGGTTGTAGTCTAATTTGTCATTGTTTCATTGGTCCATTACGTTATCTTCATGTTCGCGTGTGCAATGCGTCCTTACCGGATCACAGAATCTTCTCCTTCTTTTTTCTCGAGTATATGACTTTTTTTTTCGCAGACATGCTTATAATAAACTTAACTTGCGATAAGAAAAACCGGAATTAATGTTTTTTTGCCAAAGAGTCCACTTCTCGAATCTTTGTACTTGATACATATTTGAATTACAAAACAAAATAAAGGTAATATAAAAAGGTTTATATCGTCAATAATCACCGGAAACTCTTTCGGAAAGGCTTCAGAATTGATTGACTTGAGAATATATATGACTTGAATATAGTTTTTTTTTTCTCATTCAAAACATGATCTCACCATGATATTGTGAAATTAGGATAGTTTCTTTGATGAAAAGAAATATATGATATGCGTGATAACTACTACTTTTTTATTGCATAAATTTTATATGATACATCTATTCATACATTTAAAAATACTATTTTCAATTTTAGAAACAATTCAGTAGAAATCTTTTAAGTTGTTATTACACACACTTCATTGGATGTATTACATACATCTAAGATAACTCCTTAACCTGTCATCAACCAATTTCTAGTCTTACACAAAGACTTTAAATTATCTTACCAAAACAAAAAAAAAACTTTAAATTATCACTAATGTACATTGAACTAGTTTCATCTTAGAACAGAGAAAACTTATATTTTTATTTATTTGTATTTGGCGTAGATTTAGCAGCATTATTGAATCTTATGTATATAACTAGGTGAAGATATGTCACTCTAGAATTGTCTTAATATGGATACCTTTAAATCCATTGGATGTTCCAGGAGCTCAACTCTTATTCCAGCAGATCTTCTTGTTCCAACAGCCCGTTAACTGTTTTGTCAGCTCTGAAGGATTCTACATGCTTTTACACTTTTTTCGAAGAGTTATTTCAAGTTGAATTTAAAGTTTTAAAATGTAAATTGGCATAGAACTTTAGGAGAATAAATAGATTGATTAAAACAATTAATATAAAATATTTATACATTATTTAGTATCAAATTTTAGCATGCTTTTTTTGGTTTTTTTAAAGATAATTCCGTTATAATAATGCATGCTTAAGAAGTATTATTTGTCACAATATTATTTGAGTCACTTGATAAAAACTTTAATTTTATCATGATTATCCTGCAAAAACACCATTTACAGTTTGTAATGTTTTTACCATTTTGCTATCTCACTATCTTTTATGCTATGTCAACCCAATACAATTTTGTTTTCTTTTTCAACACCTAGTAATAGCTAAAATGGTTCAGAAGTTCAATAATGATGATCAAATGGTCAATCTAAATACGACTTTCGTTATAAAAAGAGCTATTCATAATAGAAATGTTTTTCTTCCTTCTTCTAAAAATAGAGGAAACAATGATTAGATTAGGACCAACCAACCGGTAAGAAAAAAAATATAATATAAATTTTTGTTGCGGAATATAGCATCAATGGAGACTCCATTATTGTGACGCAATGTGACCACTTGAGCATCTTATCATTTTTACTCCAGAACCACCTTATTTCCCTAAGCTTTCCCTTTTTCAGCAAGAAATTCATGTAGAAATTAATACCTAAAAGAAAATGGGGAATGTGTTAAATTAACTGCGGAAAAATTAACAAGAATATATTAGCCACTACTCACCAGTGTACATAAAAAGCCATATTTTAGTATTTCATCGAAAATGATTTCCTAATATCACTTGATTCAAGATTATTTATAGGCTTTTGGAAGTGTAAAAACATATTGTTCGTATCAAAATCTAAATTTCTAAAAAGGGTTTATTATATTATTACTTTTCTTATAAATTTGATAATGCTCTGTCTTGTAAGGTAATTGCACTTCATTATATAAAGAAGCAACTCACACGGCAACACCAAAACAGAAAGTCCAACAATATAGAAGAAGAAGAATGAAGCTTACAAGTCCTTTATCGTTTCTTCCCTCTTTAATTCTTCTTGTCTACTTGGCTTCGGAAGCCATCCTTGCTTCTAAAGATGTACATTCATTATCCTTTTATCCTACAACAAATATTTCATTTAGCATTAAAAACTTCTCATTTAATCATATTGTTTGTGTGTAATTTCAGTCGTCTTCATATGTGGTGTACTTTGGAGGTCACTCCCATGTCGGGGAGATAACAGAAGATGCAATGGATCGAGTCAGAGAGACCCATTACGAATTTCTTGGTTCCTTCATTGGAAGGTCTCTGTAACACACTCACTAAAACATACCTTTTCTCCTTCTGTTACAAACATATTATTTTAATGTTTTAATTTTGGTTCACAAAAAAATGTCATATAATTGACATTATTCTTGATTTTTGTGGAAACAGCCACGAGATAGCCGCAAACGCCATTTTCTACTCATACACAAAGCACATCAACGGCTTTGCTGCTCATCTCGACCACGACCTCGCATCTGCAATCTCCAGTAAGTATACACAGGGCCTTGTCTCGGAACAAAATTTAAAATATGTGCATCTCATCGTCTATTGCTTATGCTTTGGACGAGACCTAGATACATTACATGTTATATGTTTTCTCTTTGTTAATGATTGAGGAGTGACTCTATTTCTTTTTCTTTATCCTTCAAGAACACCCTGAAGTTGTGTCTGTATTTCCAAACAAGGCCTTGAAGCTTCACACAACTCGATCATGGGACTTCTTGGGATTAGAACACAACTCTTTCGTTCCTTCCTCTTCCATTTGGAGGAAGGCAAGATTCGGAGAAGATTCCATTATTGCAAATCTCGATACGGGTTTCTCTCCTCTTTACCCTTTTTTACCTTCTTTTTAAAACATTTTTAATTCGTCTTAAATCTAATATTGGTCAACCTTTACAAATTCGGGAGCCTTGAGATCGGCTGGGAAAGATACGTATATATTTTCGAAATGGATTTGACTTCCATTACAAGAATTATATATTTACCATTAGCTAGCGGTTGAGATCTCTAGATGTCAGCAAGAATCAATCGGCTATATTATATATGCATGCATGTGCATGTGCGCATATGCATATTCTCTTCTCTCAACAAAAATCAAGCATGTCTTATTTTTAATATCCTGTATGACTGTATCATATAGTTTGAGTTGAATCATACACAATAAAGTTAATTAACCTTATGATTATCTACCAAACTCTGTAATTAGTAGTTGTTCCATTAATAATCAGAGATTTCTTTTGTTTTGTTTTTGGAAATAGAAAAGTCGGTGAATAATTCCTCGTACAATAAAACCAAACAAAATTCCTCGTATAAGTAACGTGTTATGGCACTATGCAATTGGCTTTTAACAGAAAGTTAATGTATTTACTGCAGGTCACTTCATAGTAGTGAATAGTGTTCATAATTCAATAGTGTATTCTAAATATAGTACTTATTTTTCTTGTAGATGATGAAACAACCTTTTTAAACGTGGTAATCTAATTAGAGATTTTGCAAAAAAAATTCGTCATAATTCAGTTTATGCTAAATGGTGTTAAATGTTTAGTTAAAAAAGACGTATGGTTGGAGTTCTTGATCGGAAAATATATTTTTCCCTATAATCTGAACTAGATAAAAGAAAGAATATAAATGCTTGAGATTTAGGAGAAAAGGAGGTGAATAAAGTAAGGATATGCATGAGAACTAGAACCTTTTATAGATATCTTTCTTTGATATTATATTGTTGATTCAGAAAAGTAATAAAAGTTACCACAACCAAGAATGATTGGTTGTGTGATTATTAGACACCACAAGGCAATTTTTTATTTTTATATGTAAATCCTACTTATAATCTCTATATAAATAACAAAGGGATCTAAAACAAAAACAAAAAATACTAAACAAGTTGTTGTTGAATAAATTTCATAGACTAATGTTTTTGAATATGATTGTGTGTGGAAAAAAAGGTGTGTGGCCAGAATCAAAGAGCTTTAGGGATGAAGGATTGGGACCAATTCCTTCAAGATGGAAGGGAATATGTCAAAACCAGAAAGATGCCACTTTTCATTGCAACAGGTTCCTCTCTCTCTCTTGCATGTTTATTTTTCCAAAATGGTGTCTAATCATTTTCACGTTCATTAAGTAATTAATTATCATAAGATACGGCACACAAAAAAAATACAAAGAAAATCGGATTATCTGTTCTCACTTTTAGCAGTAAACACACGCGCGTAGTACGGTAGTAGTTATGTTTTTTTTTTTTTTTTTTTGGACATCCGGTAGTAGTTATGTTTATGTTCGAATTTGTAAGTTTGTTTTTTTGTTAAAGGGCCTAAGTTTGTTTGTTTCGGGTTTAATAAAATTCACAATTTGTATTAACAAATAGGAGACACGTGAACTAATCTTTGTAACAAGTCAAATTTGGGATACCCTATTTAGAACATCAATGGGTTTGATCATCGTATAAAAATTCACTTTCTTGGAACTTTTTATCTGGTTTATTTTGGCGAAGATAGATATAGAATCTGAAAAAGAAACAAAAAGATATTCATCGTATATTCTAGCTAGACTTTATAGTGGTACATACAAGATGTTTCAATCTAAATTTTGCTAAGTCCAATCCTTAATATTTTTTGTATAAAAAGAATTAAATCCACACTAATATTGTACTATATTATTTCATCAATACTGTATGTGTTTATAGTAGGGACGTTGTTTAACAAAAGAAAATGTTTAATTTGGGGAAAAAATTAAATTGACACCATGTAAAATACATTCAAATTATCAGTTAGTGTGGTGTAGTTGTTGCTAGGGGTGGGTAATAAAACATAATAATTAAAAAAACAAACCTGAAGAACTATAAAATTTGTTTGGTTAACATTTTATGAATTTTTTTTTTGATTTGGTTCGTTTTGAAGAAATCTTAAAACTGAATGTTTTTTTTTTTGGTTGTAAATTAGGATTCAATATCTACTTTTGTTTATATTTAACATGATTGTTTATATTTTATTTGAGTTAAGTTTCAATCATGTCTCTTTGTGAAATCGTCTTTTACATAGAAACTACCTATTCTAAATTTTTTTAATATATAGAATCTCAAATTTTTCTGTTCATAAATTATTCAAATTGTATTTTTCTTATTCTAGCTGAACAAATTTTTTTGTTGTTTTTATGCAGTAAAATTCGTATGAATGTTTTTGAAAAATCACAAAAGAAAAAGAATCCAACTAAAATCGAACTACATATGGTTAACCAAGTTGAATACATATTTTATACTCCGGGAACCAAAAATTGTATTACGTTTCAAAAACCGATAAACAGAAAAAAAAAAAAAAAAACAAAAACGTAAACCGGAATGTTTACATACGTTTTTTGAAAATAGTGAAAACTGAAAACATGTAAAATGTTCTAAACCGGAGCGGCTGAAAAAGAGAGTAAACCGTACTTTTTTAAAAAAATAGTGAAAAACTGAAAACTTGTAAAATCTTTACTAAAAGTAAACCGGAATGGTTGACAAAAAAAAAAGCATAAACCGGAATGTTCACAAAGAAGATATTGTGAAATGAAGGAAGCTGATCGGAGCAAGGTACTTCCACAAGGGCTACGCAGCCGCCGTGGGACCACTCAACTCTTCCTTCGACTCTCCACGTGATCTCGACGGCCATGGCTCCCACACTCTCTCCACCGCCGCCGGATCTTTCGTCCCCGGCGCCAGCGTCTTCGGCCAAGGCAACGGCACAGCCAAAGGCGGCTCCCCACGCGCCAGAGTCGCCGCCTACAAAGTCTGTTGGCCGCCGGTCAAAGGCAACGAGTGCTACGACGCCGACGTTCTCGCCGCTTTCGACGCCGCCATCCACGACGGTGCTGACGTCATCTCCGTCTCGCTTGGCGGCGAGCCTACCTCGTTTTTAAACGACAGCGTCGCAATCGGGTCGTTCCACGCCGTGAAGAAGCGGATCGTAGTAGTCTGCTCTGCCGGAAACTCTGGACCGGGAGATGGTACGGTGGCGAACGTCGCGCCGTGGCAGATCACCGTCGGAGCTAGCACCATGGATCGCGAGTTTGCTAGTAATCTCATCCTCGGTAACGGAAAGCATTACAAGGTTAGATTTAAGCTCCCAGAATTGGATTTAGGATTTAGTTAGTTAAAATCGAATGTTTGAATTAATTTCTTTGAATCGAGCTTGAATCGTCGACATTCATATCGTTCTTGATTGATTTAGGGACAAAGCTTGTCATCAACATCTTTGCCACATGCTAAGTTCTACACAGTAATGGCAGCTTCGAAAGCAAAAGCTAAGAACGTTACTGCTTCTGATGCGTAAGTTTTGTTTCAGAGAAACTACTTATCTACAAATGGTTTATGTATTTTGATCATTGTTAACTTTGTACGTCTCTTTCTGCAGACAATTATGCAAACTTGGATCGCTTGACCCCAAAAAGGCAAAAGGGAAGATATTAGTTTGTCTTAGAGGACAGAACGGGAGGGTGGAGAAGGGACGTGCCGTGGCTTTAGCTGGAGGCGTAGGGATGGTTCTTGAGAACACTAATGTCACTGGGAATGATCTAACCGCTGATCCGCATGTCCTCCCTGCCACACAGCTCAGTTTCAAGGACAGTCTTGCCCTGTCAAGATATATCAGTCAAACCAAGTAAGAGGATTCTTCAGCCCCACTTTTACTAAACTCGTCTTGTTTCGAGCTCTAAAAGAAGCTTTTATTTATGGATGAAGTAAGCCGATTGCGCATATTACTCCTTCGAGGACAGTTTTGGGAACAAAACCTGCGCCTGTAATGGCTGCTTTCTCGTCCAAGGGTCCGAGCTCGGTGGCTCCTGAGATTCTGAAGCCGGACATAACTGCGCCTGGTGTGAGTGTGATCGCTGCCTACACTGGAGCAGTATCTCCAACAAACGAACAGTTTGATGCTCGTCGTCTTCTGTTCAATGCTGTTTCAGGGACTTCCATGTCTTGTCCTCATATCTCTGGCATTGCGGGTCTTCTTAAAACCCGTTATCCTTCTTGGAGTCCTGCAGCTATCCGCTCTGCCATCATGACTACCGGTGAGAATGCGTTTTAAAGTCTCTTACTTTATCACATTTAACCAAGTCTTGTTTCTTCCATGACCATGTTTAGTGTTCTTTGTTCTTGAATTGGAAATAGATTTTGTTTTTTTTTTTGATCTTTTAGTTTATCTGCATATTGTGAAGTTTTTCTTGTTGAAGTTTTTCTTTCTCAGTGTTTTGCTTTGTACTTCTCTGTTTCAGCAACAACAATGGATGATATTCCCGGACCCATCCAAAACTCAACCAATATGAAGGCAACACCTTTCAGTTTCGGGGCAGGACATGTCCGACCAAATCTAGCTGTGAATCCCGGTTTAGTATACGATTCAGGCATCAAGGACTACCTCAACTTCTTATGCTCCCTTGGATACAATGCATCACAAATCTCTGTCTTCTCGGGCAAAAACTTTGCATGTAAAAGCCGTAAAACCAGTCTGTACAACCTTAACTATCCTTCCATCACAGTTCCGAACCTGTCATCGCGCAAAGTCACCGTCTCAAGGACCGTTAAAAATGTTGGACGACCTTCAACCTATACAGTTCAGGCGAATAACCCACATGGTGTTTATGTCGCAGTTAAGCCAACAAGCTTAAATTTCACCAAAGTTGGAGAACAAAAGACGTTTAAGGTGACCCTTGTGAAGCGTAAGGGGAAAGTGGCAAAGGGATATGTGTTTGGAGAATTGGTTTGGTCAGACAAGAAGCATCGTGTGAGGAGTCCCATTGTGGTGAAGCTCTGACTCTGATTTTTAGTTCCAACGATGATATTTGTATCTGTTTGAATTTTAAGGTTTAAAAGAAAGGCGTAGTTGTGATTTATATTTGAGAGGAATCATCATCATTCTTCAGCAGTGTAATGTTTTGCTGATCATCATCATAATAATGGCACATAAACCATTCTTGTCACTCATTTAAAGAAGATCATCAAAAATTCTAAGCGAAGTTATGAATATATCCTATATTTATAGCAGAAGTAGACTTATGACCAAGCTGACTCCTAAATTTCTTCACCATCATAAAAGCTAGCTTAGGATCATCTTTAGAGTTTAGAATGTTGAACGGAATCAGAAAAATTTGGTTTGCTGGAAAACTTATTAGAATGGGTTTGATTTGCTAGCAAGAATCAATGGAAGTTGATAAATGGTAGTTTAGGAGCTCTGTTGACAATAACTTTCAGTGAGGCTGGGAGCTCTTTGCAAAGACAAAAACCTTTCAGATAACGAAAGTGAGCAAAGCTCACCATTCAAAGGCTCGGATCACCATTACACTGTATACAAATTGACTAAGAATCCACATCATTTACGCTTTTGCTAGTAATGAAATCAATCAAAGTCATAAAAATGGTTCCATATACAAAATATATTTCAAACTTAGCGTCAGAGAGAAAGAGGGAGAGAGGGAGAGAGAAAATCATGCAACAGATATCTTATGTTTCGTAGATAAAGACACAAAAATTATACATCTACACAATATGAAAAGATTTATCACATCACACACAATCGATACCAGGTAATGATTCTGAACAGTTTCACCTGAAAACCCAAAACAAAAAGGGTTAGATCAACATACAATGTAATTCAAGACCGTCAATGTGACTTTCACGCAAATGCAGAACTGACAAATGAACAAAGTGGATATAATTCCTACTTTCCTTATTCGTCGTCGTCGATAAATTGAACACTAGGAATGTGTTGGACTTTGTAGTAATCTTCCCCATTTGGTACCAGTTTCTTCGTCCACTCCCTATTCATCTCTTCAATTTTCAATTCCTTTAAGGAGGTTATATACTTCAGCCCCTCTGGTATCTCCTTCAGCTTTTCGCATTTATCTATAGTCAAAGTATGAAGACAAGGCATCGACCCTTCTTCTACGATCCACTCTTCCAACTCTTCCAGCTCAGATATTTCTAGATTACATAATTGAGGGAATCCACCTTTTGAGCACACCATTCTCTTTCCAAAAAAAAGCACTAAATGATAATATAACCGAGTTCAAATGAAGCAACTTTTCCAGAATCGGCATTGGATCCTCCTCCATCCCGCAAAAGTATAGACATATGTGTGCAAGGTTGGGAGGGAACTGATATTGATCAGGAAACCTTGGCATCTGTATGCCCAAAATTAATTGCTTTAGATCAATGAAATCCAAAGCGAAATCTTCCCCATGATGAGCCCCTTGAGATTCTTCCATATAATTAACTAAAGCAAAATTCTCTAGGTTTTTTAATTCACGGAGAGATGACGAGAGAATTTCATAAGTAGTCTCGCCAGTGAATTTCATAACTTCCATTTTTTATTCCATTTTGGAGTGAGATTTGAAGTAGGGTTGGAGATAATCTTGCTCCAAACTCTATTTTGCAGTGAAATTTGCACTAGGGTTAGAGATGGTAGTAATGGTAAACTTTGGAAACATTTAGCTGACTGCTTCCACAAGTATCCCTCGGCTCCAAAACACAAAACAGATCTGACTTTTTTGTTGCTTTTATGTCCCAGCATATGAAGTGCATTCCCATTATACATAACGAGTCTGCGAGATCTACTAGGAGTGTGAGCGTTGATAGTAGAGGTGGAAGTAGGGACTTTGATGACTTGAAGAAAGTTCTCTTCTTTCGCTTTAGATAAACATACTTCTCTCATAATGTCATGCATTTGACAGTAATCCATTCTTGAAGCTGGATTGCCATAACTTCTTTCGACAATAACCAAATTTCTCCTTACTAGCTCTCCTAGGAAGTCTTCTCCACTTTCTCGAATGGTTGCTCCATTGCAAAATGACGTTATTATTCCTTCTGAAGCCCAGTAGTGAAACAATCTCTCCACCACTATCTTGTAATCTTCAGGAAAATGGGCCAGGTAAAGGAAGCAATGCTTTAACTCCATTGGCAAATCTTCATAACTCAGAGACAATACTCGGTAAACCACCGAATTGAGACTGTTCTCATCTAAACAAGATTTTCCTATGATCTGAGTTCTAATATTCTCATATACTCTTTTCCACTCGGAAACTGAATATTTCTTAGCTAACAAGCCTCCCAGCACTTTGACGGCTAATGGTAGACCTCCACAATGTGTGAGCATTTTTTTACCAATGACTTCTAATTCTTCATTAACCCTTAATTCTGCAAACAAACATCAAGTAATACATTTTAAAATTTGAGCGTTGAAAAAAAATAATTATATGAGGATTGGATGTATCAGAGATTAATTTGTAAAGATCCTTTTATATAAACGTCTAAACTCTGTAAAAAGAAATAATGCTTAATGGCCTTAATTTTATATCTGAAAGTGTACCAGTTTCGTCTTTCTTTGGGAATACTATGCTCTCACATAGCTTCCAACTTTCTTCGGGAGTAAGAATTCTTGATCTAAAGGCAAAACATGTTGGATCTGCATGTAAACCAACACCTTCATTGCGAGAAGTAAGTATCATCTTCCAACCTGCAAATCACATTTCACGTTAGGGTAACAAACGCAATTATTTATGCCCAATGTGTAATGTCTTGGTACTTTCTCTCTAAATTTAATGTATGAAATTAGAGCTCACCTCTTTTTTGGGGAAACACAGCTTCTATTCTGTCCCAATCTTCGTTTTTCCATATATCATCGAGGACAATCAAATATCTAGACGTTTCCAACAATTGAAAGAGCTTCCTCTGGAGTGTATGATCATCCATCTGTTTAATGTCTCCATCATGTGGCCTAAGATCTTGCAAGATCCTTTGCCAAACATCACTTCGCGTGAACTCTTGCGAGACACATACCCATGCGAATCCATCAAAATGACGACGGACAATGTCATGATGAAAAACTTGTCTAGCTAGCGTGGTTTTTCCAATACCACCCATCCCGGATATGGAAACCATTTGGATGTTATCATTCTCCACCAAATGACCAACCAATTCTTCAACACTCTGTTCCACGCCCACAAGATTCTTTTCCGAACTGTTAGGAAATGTTTCTCGACTTTCCCTTTGCAGCCTTTGTCTCTCTTGCAACGACAACGAACGACCACCATCAATAATCTGTTGTATACCAAAACTCTGCATTTGCTTAATCACCTCAGAGATCCTCCTAGTTATGCCTTCGATATCTGTAGCAAATTTCCAGCGATACACTAAGAAGCAAGAAAGTCTTTTCACTCGCTTCTTGATCCCTTTTTCTTTTACTTCTTTCAGAAGAAATGATTCGATTATATCATCAGCATCATCAACAATGTCTTGGACATCTTCCAAGAAGTTTCTCACTCTTTCACTCTCAAATTTCTTGGCATATGCATCTTTCATCAATGATTGTAACATTCTTATTTGACCTTTTAGTTCAGATACTTGCTCGTTTACTCCCAGTAAACGCTCAGATTCTCGACCCAGGAGCTCCCAAAGTTTTTGCAATCCAAAGGACACAACTCCCTCAGCCATAACTATTATCCTCTCTTTGCACAAAAAAAAAACTATTATCCTCTTCTACTGTTAAGACATAAAGCCAACAAAACATCAATGCCAAAAATATTACTAACTTGTAATAATCTCTAAAAGAAAATTCTTTTAAGAGAAAAATGATTGGTCGATCTAGTGAGACATAGTACCACACCCAACATTTTTTTTTACTTGTAATATTTTTATTCAAACAAACTTGTAATAAAGTTTATGCGAGTAACATGGGTGGTTACAAGAACGAAGGTTTGTACTAAGCTAATGGTTTTTATTATTTTCCAAAAACAGATCCGACCACAACAGAGTATAAAAGACAGATCGAAACAAGTGAAGCAGAAAAAATCATATATATAAAAAGAAAACATCATTTACCTTTGCTGAATGAATCAGCTTTGAAACTCACTTGTTCGTTGAAAGAAGAAAAATGAGTTTTTAATAGTATTTAGTTAAACATAAAACGAAAAGTGGCAGTGAAAGAGTTGACTCCAAGTCAATCTTATCAACAACCAATTGGCTCAAGAGTCACCACACGATATCTTGCGAGTCTATGACCAATGATAAATACATTTTGTTCGACTTTTGAATATGAAGAAATTTTGGATCTATGAAACAGCATAGAAATTAAGGGATTAAAATCGCAATTTTCAAAATGTTGAGACTTTAGTTTGCAATATTATAAAATAAAAATATAAAGGAAAACAGCATATGGTCCATAATCCTCGTGCGTGATATTTACATCCAATCACCAAAATTTCTCTCGTCTAAAGATATTTTCAGTTTTTTCACCGCCAAAAAACATATGAACACTCTTTGACGAATAAAACCTTTTTCTCCCGTTAAATTTACGGCCATACCATTTGATTCTCCTCCGTAAAGACCACCATTATTAAGGAATAAAAAGGTAAATTCAGTAACAATAAAGATTTATACCCAAAATAAAAAAGATCTCCTCCTCCTCAATTATAGTGACAGAACAAGAGTCAAGAAGCTCCTCCTCTTGACAACAATGGTGACAATGGCAGCAATTGGATCACTAAAAGTACCTTCATCTTCTTCGTCTTCGTCCTCCTATTCCTCGAATGTCAACCGTAGAGCATCGTCTCTCGTTCTCTTCTTCATCTCTTGCAGGCGACAGAGTTAGTTTCACCTCCAATGTCCGTCGCAACACTGAAAATATTTCAAATAAGAGAAGAACACCATCAATTGTTTCCCCAAAAGCAGTTTCAGATTCACAAAACTCACAAACTTGTCTTGATCCTGACGCTAGCAGGGTAAGTGTGTCTTTTGTTTTTTCATAAGATTTCGATTTTCATGGAAGATCTTGATTTAGGGTTTTTTGTGCTAATGGCAGAGTGTGTTGGGGATAATTCTTGGAGGAGGTGCTGGAACAAGATTATACCCTTTAACGAAGAAGAGAGCTAAACCAGCTGTTCCTCTCGGCGCAAACTATCGTCTGATTGATATTCCAGTGAGCAATTGCTTGAACAGTAACATCTCTAAGATCTATGTTCTTACTCAATTCAATTCAGCTTCTCTTAATCGACATCTCTCGAGAGCTTATGCGAGCAACATGGGTGGTTACAACTTACAAGAACGAAGGTTTCGGTGAGGTTCTTGCTGCTCAACAAAGCCCAGAGAATCCAAATTGGTTTCAGGTCTAAAGACTGTACATGGCTTTGATTGATTGAGTTTGAGAGATGGTTTTGAGTTTGAGTTTTGAGTTTTTGTTTGGACAGGGAACTGCTGATGCAGTGAGGCAGTACTTGTGGTTGTTTGAAGAGCACAATGTGTTGGAGTTTCTGGTTCTTGTAGGTGATCATTTGTACCGTATGGATTACGAGAAATTCATACAAGCACATCGTGAAACCGACGCTGATATCACTGTCGCTGCTCTTCCTATGGATGAGAAACGAGCCACAGCTTTCGGGCTGATGAAGATCGATGATGAAGGACAGATCATCAAGTTTGCTGAGAAGCCTAAAGGGGAGCAACTCAAGACTATGAAAGTGAGTTCCTTTCGTTTTTTGGTTGCTTATTACGAGTTCTTGACATTGAGTCTTGTTTGTTATTTTGGTAATTAGGTTGTACAACAATCTTAGGCCTTGATGATGAAAGAGCTAAAGAAATGCCTTTTATTGCTAGTATGGGAATATATGTTGTGAGCAAGAATGTGATGTTAGACTTGCTCCGGGAACAGTTTCCCGGAGCTAATGACTTCGGTAGTGAAGTTATTCCCGGAGCTACCGCTCTTGGACTGAGAGTAAGTGATCACTATCTTAATTTAACAATGGCTTGTGTTCTTGGTTGAATGGTTTAGTGCTTCAAGATTTAACTTCGTAACTCATTTTCAGGTGCAAGCTTATCTTTACGATGGGTATTGGGAAGATATTGGTACCATTGAGGCGTTTTACAACGCGAATCTTGGAATCACCAAGAAACCAGTACCGGATTTCGGGTACACAAATTGATCGTTTTGGTTATCTAAACTGTAGTTTCGAGAGGTAAGTAACATGACCAAGCTATTTCATCATCTTCCCGCAGTTTCTATGACCGTTCAGCACCAATCTACACACAGCCTCGTTACTTACCTCCATCTAAGATGCTTGATGCTGATGTTACTGATAGTGTAATCGGTGAAGGTTGTGTTATCAAGGTAAAAACAACTCTCAAATTTAGCCTACACTTTCAGGTTTGGAAAATAGAAACTTAGACTTAACTGATCTTTACTTCAAAACTGCAAAATCCATCATTCTGTGATTGGTCTCCGGTCGTGCATATCGGAAGGTGCGATCATAGAAGACACCTTGTTGATGGGTGCAGACTACTACGAGGTACATTACAGTTTCAGATCAGTTCACTTCATTTCATTGAATCAGGGCACTTTTCTGTATAATTTTATCATTATGTGTTTCAGACTGATGCTGATAGGACACTCTTGGCTGCAAAAGGCAGCATCCCGATTGGCATTGGCCGAGACTCTCACATCAAAAGAGCTATCACTGACAAGAATGCTCGTATTGGGGACAATGTCAAGGTAATTTTCGTAAATCTTATTCCTCTGTTTCCTCTTGGTTCTAAGTGTTTAGAAGACTGAAACTTTTAACCTCCTCTACTCTATGTGTTTATTCAGATTATCAACACAGACAACGTGCAAGAAGCTGCGAGGGAGACGGATGGATACTTTATCAAGAGCGGCATTGTTACAGTGATCAAGGATGCTTTGATTCCTAGTGGAACCATTATCTAAGAGACCTTTTTTTTACTATCTTATAACTTCATTGTTTTGACCTTTTGTTGCTTCAAGTGAATGTATCCAGAGGTCAGGGCCAATGTCATTTTAATGCTTCTCCTTTAATAAAAATCTCTACTTTATATTCTGGAGTTCATTCTAGAGTTCCAAGCTTATTAATGACTGGCGATGTATGAATATCAATAAACAGCCCAAGACGATCATATTGATATACAATTTAACTGCTATCGTCACTACTTAAAGAACATTATTTTATCGATAGTCGCTATTGCCAGCGATTGCAAAAGGAAGTGGACCATAGTAGTAAGCTTACAATGTTGTTTTACAACTGCCTTAAAATTTTGTAGTTTGCATTAGAGTTAAATTTTTGCTGGTAAGAAACTCCTGTAAATTGAGGAAAGATTTATGGAATTTAGATTCAATCACATTGATTGCTTGATAGATGATACATTTTGTTCTGATTTATTTAGAGTTCCAAAGGAGGATTTTTCGACGAAATAGAACGACATCAATGATGTGCTTGATTGGTTTAATTTCACCTGAACATCAGACTTGTGAATGATGAAAGCAAACTTATGAGAAGGTATATATATCAAATATTTGTAGACCGTATGATCTGTACGTTCTTGTCCACTGTTAAGCGTTTAATCTACTTGGTCCGTTCTACTCTGTACAGTGCTACCATCTCCAACGCCGGATGACAAAGATATCATAAATGGGTCCGCGTTTTTTTTTTAATTTAAAAATTAAAAATAAAGCCTAATTTCAGTCATACGATATCAGTAGAGTGAGCCTTATTGGGGTCGGTTTCCACCCTAACTGAATTAACCGTTTTGAAATGACTAAGTGTTAAAAGATGTCGACGAACCCAAGCTCTGTGAAGAAGCAAGCCGAGCCCATCCATAAAGCAGGATGGGTCGAGCCCTACAATAACTGTGGGCTGAGCCCTTGAAGCAGCATAGATCGAGCCGCGAGGTGATACAGACCGAGCTGTGTGAAAAGGAGAATGGGCCGAGCTGCGTAAGAAGTAGAATGGGCCGAGTCACTTCCTTCCACAATTGGGCTGAACCGAAGTCTTGAAGGACGAAAGTCTATAAAAACCCTAGGCGAAGTATCGTGACGGTGGCCGCACGAAGCGATAAGGAAATATTCCAAAAATCTCTCCCGAGATTCTCGGCTATGCGGTTTAGAGAATCAGTATAAATAGCCGATGTATTACTTTGGGAATCCTAAGCAATAAGACTAAACACTTTTCAGAGCAATAAAAACTTTCTTTCGATTTTACTGTTCTTGCGATAAACTCTAGAGATTTTGGATCTCTTAAGTTTTTCCTTAACAAATTCTTGGTTGTGCGAGTTTTGGCTCACACAATTTGGCGCCGACTGTGGGAGATCGAAATTTTCTTACTCTAAAATCGACAAGACTTTAAGATCTGAAGAACATGGCGAGCAACACTCCCGACGATGAGAACAACAACAACGACAACGGCGCGGAGAAGATCGCTCCGCCCTCGGGCACAACAACGACGACAACTGAAGCCCAAGAGGAGATGTGAAACATGATGGCTACATTGATGAAGAAGATCGATGAGCAGAACAAGAGGAACGAGGCAATTACGGAAAGACTACACGCAATGACGGCTGAGAGACGACACCCAACTTGGAGAGCTAGAATCTCCGATCTGACGGATGGAGCCCGGAGACGCTTCGATTTCTCAACACCTACAGAAGCCTCGGGTAGCGGCACAAGAAATCCCATGGCTCCGCCAATGTTTTTTCCCCTCGGCGAACAGACTCCTGCAGCAACCCGAATCAACATGACTGAGCCGCCTCCACTTTGTCGGAATTTTAGGTGACGAGCTGACGAATAGGAGAACGACGTGATCGACGTGGATGCCTAACAAAACGATGGAACCAGGAATTTGCAACAAAACGGCTTGGCTCGGTGAATAAGCCAAGAAGAGCTCGCCTCGGCACTAAATGGCATTCAGGCTGATGAAGTCACCGACCCGGTTCGCGACAACAACCCAACCCAATTCAGGCAGAGAACGAAGACGAGCCGTGGAGAGAAGATCAGGAGCGACTTCGCCAATATAAGAGAATGACCGAGCACAAACCCTCAAAATCGAAGAGCTGCAAGCCTCAATGGCTCGAACAGTGGCCGAGATACGCGCCATGAAATCTCAAGTGCACAACGCGACAAGCACCGCGCCAGAGATCGATCGAATGCTCGAAGAGACCTAGAGAACACCGTCCACAGCAAGAATCACGGAGGCTAGGATTTCTGAGCCCATGAAAGTGAGAATCCCATTCTACGAAGGCACAACCGACCCGAAGGCGCACATCACAGCGTTTCGGATAGCAATGGGACGAGCCTTCACAAGGAATGCTGCCAATCTGACCAAACGGGAGGTGGACGCCGGATATTTCCTGCTCTTCGTAGAGCATCTCAAGGGAGCCGTGCTGGAATGGTTTTCGAGACAGAAGCGTAATTCAATCGGCAGTTTCCAAAAGCTCTCCACTTTGTTCCTCAAGCAGTATTCGATGTTCATGGATCGAGTACTCTCTGACGCCGACCTATGGACACTATCCCAAGGACGAAACAAACCGCTTCGGGACTACATGGCAAGATTCAAGGCTGCACTCAAGGCTCTGAAGCGATATTTGTGGTACAAATCCAAATTTTGATGGGAGATGGCCCTCAACACGCCGCAAACGATTCAAGACGCTTACATCGGTCAGAATACTTTGTCGTAAACGTGGAAGAGATGAAAAATCTGGATGAGCAGTACGAAGCGACGAAAGCAGCGATCCAGAGCATAGTCCTGACGCGCCCCTCGAAGAAAAGTAACCCATCAAACAACGCAACAACACAAAGCTCGGAGGAACCAAGAAGCGGAGGCGCCCACAACTACCAAGTAGGCGCTGGACGCGGAAGGGGAGAGCCGCGCAGCAACACTTGGGTAAGGAGACCCACTAACTACGACAAAAAGGCATTCTTCGAGTACCATCAAACTTACGGGCATTCAACGGCGCAATGTCGAACCCTAGGAGCAAAACTCGCAGCAAAAATGGCAGCGGGGAGCTCCAGAACGCGGTGAATCTTAAAGATCTTGCCCCTACCGAGCCAAAAGAGGGAACCGAGCCGAGCGGTGCGGCAGAACCCACAAATCTGCCTCGACGAAGCGATAATATCAAGCGCGACAGGAGAGGTGAACCTGAAGAACGACCCGAGCCGAGACAAAGGATCAACATGATCATGGGTGGATCCCAATATTACCAAGACACGGTATCTTCCATCAAAGCCTATCAGCGCCGAGCCGAAGGAAATAAGAATTGGACCAAGCCAACCGATATCTCGAACACGGTAATCTCTTTTACTGAGGAAGAAACGGCAGGGATAGACAGAGCACACACCGATCCTCTGGTTATCGAAATGACGATCAGAGACCACGACGTAGCAAGAGTACTCATCGATACCGGGAGCTCGGTAGACGTTATCTTCAGGGAGACACTCAGAAGGATGGGAATAGACCTCTCCAAGGTGACGGCAGTCCCTATACCTCTAACCGGGTTTTCAGGCGAAACAACAATGACCATGGGCACAATTAGACTCCCCGTGGTGGCCGGTGGAGTCACTAAGATCATCGAATTCTCCGTCACCGATCACCCAACAATCTACAACGTGATCATGGGGACTCCATGGATAAATGCAATGAGGCCGATCCCTTCCACCTATCAATTCTGCCCCAAATTTCCGACTCCAGCAGGCATCAAAACGATTTGGGGAAATCAGAAGGAGTCGCGAATGTGTTTCCTGACGGAGCACAAGTTGAGGAACTCTGTTACCGACGCATGAGCAGATGTAGATCGCAAGAAGGTGAAGACGGATCGAGAGCCCGTGAACGAGCTCTCAAAACTCTTATAGCAATTACAGATTGTGGAGAGCCGCGAACGCACCAAGCCGGAATGTGATGCGGTGGACTCGGTGTGTATAGACGAAGCACATTCAGAGAAGCGAACTCCTTTCCTTCCTCAAGGAGAATATCAACACTTTTGCCTGGACAGTGGAGGATATGCCGGGCATAGGAATCGACGTGACCTGTCACGAACTGAATGTAGACCCAACCTTCAAACCAATCAAGCAAAAAAGGAGGAAGCTCGGTCCTGAACGAGCTAAAACTGTCAACGATGAAGTAGAAAGTTTGCTCAAAGTAGGATCAATCACTGAGGCAAAGTACCCGGACTGGCTCGCAAACCCAGTGGTCGTGAAGAAGAAGAATGGCAAGGGGCGAGTCTGTGTAGATTTCACAGATCTCAACAAGACAGTTTCCCTCTACCGCACATCGACCGGCTCGTCGAAGCCACTGCGGGAAACAGGTTGTTGACGTTCATGAACGCGTTTTCAGTTTACAACCAAATCCTGATGCATCCCGACGACAGAGAAAAATGCGTTCATAACCGATCGCGGGATTTATTGCTACAAAGTCATGCCGTTCAGACTCAAAAACGCGGGGGCAACATATCAACAGCTCGTCAATAAGATGTTCGCAGATCAGCTCGGAAAACCATGGTGGTATACATCGACGATATTCTCGTGCACTTACGAGAATGCTTCGAGCAATTGAAGAAGCACAACATGAAACTAAACCCGGCGAAGTGCAGATTCGCGGTCACCTTTGGAGAGTTCCTCGGCTATTTGGTGAAGCAAATCCCAAGCAGATCAAGGCATTAATCGAGATGCCCTCTCCAAGAACGAAACGAGAAGTTCAAAGGCTCACAGGAAGAGTCGCCACGCTAAACCGATTCATCTCCCGATCCACCGACAAGTGTCTACCTTTCTACGACATCCTCAGAGGAAATAAGAAATTCGAGTGGGACGAGCGATGTGAAGCAGCTTTCTAGGAGTTGAAAACTATCTAGCAAGTCCGCCTGTCTTGGCGAAACCAGTAGAAGGGGAGCCCCTCTTCCTTTACATCGATGTATCCGCTACGGCCGTAAGCGGGGTACTGATAAGAGAGGAGCGATCCAAACAAAAACCCATCTTTTACGTCAGTCAGACACTAACCGATGCCGAGACCCATTATCCACAGATCGAGAAAGTCGCCTTAGCCGTCGTAGTATCGGCTCGCAAATTGCGTCCATACTTCTAGTCGGATTCGATTATTGTGCTCGCGACCCTTCCACTGCGCTCGATCCTGC